TACAGTTCCAGGCAGCTTATATATATATATATATATATATATATATATATATGATCTAATGTCTAATATATAATATTATTTTAGTTTTTTCTGATCTTTATAAAGTACCAACGACTTTATTTAATAAATTGCACGAAAACAATTAAAAAAGTATATTAAAATTAAAACCCGAAAGAAAGAAATACAAATAGTACTAATATGTATAAATAAAAATAATTATAAATATAAAACAATGCATATATATACTTATAATAATCTATAAGAAATGATAAAGAAAAATGTAATATGAAACTGTATAATACGAACATTGTGCATCTTGTAGTCGAATGGTGGTAGATAAAAATGAAATGAACATTGAGGGGTTTATATAGTATTGAAAATGAACTTAATTCTATGGAAAAATTTAAAATTCAAAAGATTTATACATTAAATCAAACAAATAAAGGAAACAACCCAAAAAAATAAAATAATAACTTGTGGAAAAAAATCTTGCAATATAAAAACATTAAATATGAAAATACGATTTTTATTTTTTACCATTGAATTTTGAATTAAAGTGTAAAGTAAATCAATCAAAGATGATACGAAGGAATCTTGGAATATTAAAGACTCCTTTGTATTGGTGATTTGATATTTTAAAAATGTAATTCGTGATAATTTGAAATAGTAATTGACAAATACAATGCATAATCTAGTGTATAATTCGAAACATATTATATATTAAATAGTGTATTCGGAATATAATAACAAACCTACTGCATTTAGATTGTTAAAATATACTGCATTTAAATTGTTAAAATTTCAAATTTCAAAATATTGAATATTTATTAAATAGTATAATTATTTTTAATTTGAAATATAGTATGATAAAAATTATATACAAAAAATATTGTATATTTATTAAATAGTTCAATAAAAAATAAAACATTTTATTATTATTATTTTTAATGGAATGGATATTCGAATATTCCAAACTATCGAAAATTAAAAAAAAAAAAAACAACAACGTATTTCTTTATTTTAATATTTTAATATTTAAAAAAATATTTTTTTCTGAAAATTATTTGAATATTCGTAAAAAAATTGAGTTTCATGAATTTTTTCAATAAATATATTTTGAAATACTGAAAATTTAAATAAGATTTTTTCATTTCAAATTTAAAAAATATTAACTTTGGAAATAATATATATATATACATGTGGTAATTATTAAATGAGTGTGCGAGTGTGAAATAGGAAATAACTTAAAAATATACCAAAATAAAATTGACAACTCACCAATTGAAGAATCCACCTCATCAATTGAACTCCAACTAAGCAATTTTGATAAATGACATCATCATTTGCCACATGTCAATCATTGAGGGCATAGATCCTCTTTTTATATTATATATAGATTTTACTCTTGTAAGTTACAAAAATTGAGAATTTTAATCCTATGACATGCTATAAATTCAATGTTTGGTTCAATGAATTGGCATTTAATTAATAAAATTAAATAGATTAAAAATAAACAAGATGATGTGGCCGATGAGTTGGACGATTTTGGAGGGAATAAAATATACCGTTAAATTATTTTTTATTTGATGAAGGAAATAAGTATTTATTTAGTATTTATTTATTTATTTAATATCTTATAGTTTTCAATTGATAAAGTCTATTACTCCTATGGATATTTATTACTCAATAACGTATTTTATGTTTGGATGCTTTAGAATGTTTTTTGTTACATTTAATTTAATAGAGAAATATATTTTATTATTTTCTTGGTTAATTCATAAATGTGTGTTTGGTTTTCATACCAATTAGGGTTGGGACTGGGTTGGGTCGGTCGATTACCAGCCTAAAAATTGATCCATCCGTCAAACCATTTTTGCTCAAATTTGAAAACCGTTGCCGACCCAACCTTTGTGGGTCGGTTGATGGTTGGCAACCGAATATTTGGTTCCGGAATGGGTCGGTTGATGGTTTATACCCGCCACCTAGTTCATTTGAAAACAATCAAATTTTGGAGTAAAAATATCCAAATTTTGCTTAATGCCACAGTGCGATCATCATTTATCAGTTCAAAATAATTAATAACAATTTAACGAAAAAATATAATTAAGAAATTCAAAGTAATTTCAAACATGCACAAGAGATTTAGTGAAGTTTTGTGGGCTTTTTGTTTAAGCTTGGACATAAAGAAATTGGTTGAAGATTTAGGTCAATTTTTTTTCCTTTGTTGATTGTTTTAAAATTTAGAAGACTAATTATTTTGATAATTTCAATAACCACTTAAGAAAACACGGCCTTTATTTTATATTTTTAATAAAATTTTAATAGTATAGTTGGATAACCGATAATTATCGGTCAACCAACTTTTGATAATATTAGAAACCACCAACCGACCCATTATAGATGGGTTGGTTGAAATTTTCGACCCGATCCAATGGGTCGGTTAAAAATTGATTATCCGCCTAAAAATATGGTCGGTAATGGGTCGGTTGGTGGATAAAAACCAACCCAATCCCAGCCCTAATACCAATTATAATTGTGCATGTCATTTAACTTAACTTTTAATAGAATTTTTTTTCTTCGTATTTTGGTTGAATTTGATTATTTGTTCACTTTCATTGTGATCACTAAGTGTAGATTTATAAAAATAAAATATTTAGATATATATGAATTTAATTATTATTTTTATCAATTAAAACCTATGAAATATTAATTAAAAATTAGTTATTAAGTAAATGTTTATTTCCTTCTAATAAATATGATGATATATTTTAAGAGACGTGTTATTTTCACCCTTGAAATATCTTATTTCACCATCAAATTAAATATATTTTCGATTTTGCCCATTTCTTCTTCTTTCACCTATATATTTTTACAAATTTATAAACCGTCCACCACCAAACTAATTAAAAATTTTATATAAAAAAACCCACCATTTTCACTGGAAATTTTATCGCAAAAATCTCACCCTTTCCATCTTAAGTGAATAATACTTTCGAAGGTAAAAAAGAGCAGAAATTCACGTTCTTGGAGAAATAAATTTAGAGTGCTTGTCTGAAAGGTCCTGAACTTCCTCCATAATTGGCCAGTTTGGCTTAATATAATTTCGTTTCCAAAAAAAAAAAATGTATGCCAACTGATATAAAAGTTTAAATATATTGTAATAAATACTTCATTGCAAATAAAAAAATTTAGAAATTAAAAAAAATTAAAATAGAAATAGGAATAACTTAGAACACACGAGGATTAAGCGAATACAAGGAAAGGTGTTGGATTATAAATTTGAGGGGTATTTATGATATTATATATATCTTTGGTGGTGAATTGAGATACTTTGGAGATGGAAATAACACCACTATATTTTAAATATTTAAATATAACAAAAAGTAAATATATAAATAAATACGGTATATCCCATTATTTTGGTGTCTTTGACATTGATGATTAAATTTTCTTCCAAAACCATCCAATTCAGTATCCACGTCATCTAGTTTATTTTTACTCTATTTATTTTTATAAATTAAATGTCAACTCATTCAAACCAACCATTGCATTATATGCTATAGCAGGTCATAGGACTAAAATTCTCAATTTTTAAAACTTATAGGACTAAAATTCTGATTTTGAAACATGGTGGACTAAACTGCCAACTAGTAAACTTATAGAACTAAAAAACTCATTTTGCCTTTCTTCTTGTTCTTTTACGTTTGTTAATGGCCAGGATAATAAATTGGCTCATTCTCTTGCTTCGTTGATTGTTAATGAGTGTTTGAAAGGATATATTCCCTTACCCCGTTTTTGACCATGTGTGCTTAATTTAATTCGTATTTTCCCCTAAAAAAAAAGAGAGTATTTTGAAATATTTAGAAGCTTTGTGGATAATGAATAAAATCCTCGTGCAAACGGGTAGAAATCCATTTGCAAACATAAAGCCTATTAAGTACAGGACTCCACCTTGACCCGACCCGTATAGGCATTATTAAGGAAGTACAAGTAGACAAGGCAGTAGTAATACCGAAAGGCGAAAAGTAATGTTGAGAACATTTTCAAAAAGCTTATTTAGCAGCAGCCACCGTCTATTCAACTTGAAACCCTTCCCAAACCCTAGAATAATAACAAGAAATATCATATCACACATGACAACTGCTGCTGCTGCCATTAACATTAAGCGAGTCGGCACTCACAATGGAAGTTTCCACTGCGACGAAGCCTTGGGCTGCTTCATGATTCGCCTTACTCAAAAGTTTTCCGATGCTCACATCGTCCGTACGCGTGACCCCCAGGTCATCTTCATCTTCATTTTCTTACTCTTAGCACTAATTAATGAAGAAATTTGTCTAGTTCTTGTTTTTTGAAGTTTTTTTGGGACGCAGGTTATGTGTTTGATGAAATGTTTTCTTATTAAATGTATTAGGTATTGGAAAGTCTTGATGCTGTTCTTGATGTTGGTGGTGTTTATGATCCCATCAAAGACCGTTACGACCATCATCAAAAGGGTTTTGAAGAGGTTTTAGGTCACGGGTTTAATACTAAGCTCAGTAGTGCTGGTCTTGTTTACAAGGTGGTTTATATAATCTTCAATCCTCCTAACATATTCGTTTGATTTCTTTCATGTTCATGGGCTCAATTTTGTTTTTGAAGCTGATTACTTTCAATGTTTTGCAAGATTACTTTGAATTCTTGATTTATACTTGGTTATCTTTAGCATTTTGGGAAGGAAATAATTGCAAAGGAGCTTCAAGTTGACGAAGACCATCCCGATGTGTTTCGGTTGTTTCTAGCAGTTTACAAGAGCTTCATGGAGGTTATACCTTTTACATCTGCAAGATTTTGTTTCTTCAAAAAATTTCTTTTTCTCCACAATTTGGTATCAATTTTTAATCTCAATCTGTTATTTAGATTATGCTGCATTTTTATTGAGTTTAAGGTATTACCTAAGCCTGCCAGCTCATCATAACCTTACAGCTCACATTATGTATGGTCTTGCTAGGGGAAAATAACCTTTTTTTTTAATTCTTCATTGCGACAGAACCTTTGCGTTTGAGAAACATGGTTACATGTTTACCTAAAAAAATTAGGTGTTTATTTTGCTGTACCTTAGGACAAAGTAAAACATATGCATAGAACAAATGGTAGGGTTTAAGTCCCTGGTTCTCATATTGATTTAACAATTGTCAATTGTGGTTTGTTATCAATATTTACCAAAGGTATGTATTTATCCTTGTATATAGTAATTTATTAGTTTTCTAGGCTAAACTATGGAGTTTGAATTTGTTTCAATGCAATCTTATGAATCATGACTTGCATTCGATAATTTTTTGTAAGCCAACTAGTGCATAGAAGAAACAATTAATTCACTTCAAACTAGATTATTTATCTTATAAGCCTAGTTAGAAAAATGTGTTAATTCAATTGAATAATTAATTCAACCAATTACACTAATTAAATCCTTAATAATTTAATCTTAATGTCCAACTAATGTATGACTGTTTATGTTCATGACAAAGCTTGAAGTGCTTACAACATTTGTAACTTATGAATAACAACTATTGTAATTGAATAATCCAATTTATCAATCCACTCAGAATTGAATCCTTAATTCCAAAAATCTAAGTTGTCATAATTCACATTTATCATATTCATCCTACCTTGCCAAGGATTTGAGAGTTATATACTATTAAGAGATAGGAGATTCCGTTGTTTTTGTAAATGAGTTTGGGATCCTCTGTTAAATGGAAGTATACCATGAGATCTGCACAAGGTATCAATGTTCCTCAAATCAAAGGGGCTAGAGTTATGCACTTGTCACCATAGGGAAATTGGTCAACCTACTCAAATCTAATTTGCATCTTCCAAAATTTGATCTTTTGTACATTATTCAGTGTTGGTTAGGAGGATTGGCTCGCCCCTGGTTATCTCTTAAAGACCTCAATTCACCTTGCTATGCAAACTATATTTCGATCCAGTTTTTTGGTATTAAACTATTGCTAAACTTTACATCACCATTTGAAGTTCTAACTTTTACCTACTTTTTTTTTTTTTTTAAATTTTATACTATAACAGGCGATTGATGCAATTGATAATGGGATAAATCAGTATGATACAGAGCAGCCACCGAGATACGTGAATAATACACACTTATCTTCAAGAGTGGGTAAACTGAATTTAGACTGGACAAATCCTGATCAGTCGTCTGAAAAGGAAAATGAAGCCTTTGAACGAGCAATGGCTCTGGCTGGCAGTGAGTTTTTGGATGTAAGTCTTTTAAAATTAATTGAATTATGTCTGTTTTGCATACTTTCTAATATCTCTGAAAATGTAAATGAATGGAGATTGGAAATGACTTGTGTTCATTAATATATTTTTTCAGTGTCTCCGCAACCTAGCCCGTTCATGGCTACCAGCTCGAGCAATTGTGATTAAATGTCTTGAAGAAAGATTTGATGTTGATCCCTCTGGAGAAATTATGGTCTTAAATAACTTTTGTCCTGTGAGTATCTGAAATTTATTATTATATTTCTCTCTTCTTTTAACCTGTTTAGGATTTATCTTTCAGAACGAGTAAGCTGTTGTTTTATTTAATTTGGGACCCATGCTCGCTTACATTCCCCCAGTTTCTTAATGACGCTCATTCTCTACTCGATTTGGAGTTGAATAAAAAAATATTTTAATCGTTTCTGTTGGGCCATTGGGAAATACAATTATAATCAAGTTATCGTGGCATTTACTCTTATTTAAACTAACAAATAGGAATGGCATTATTTTTCGGCCTTATTGTTGATTTTATTGACATTATCTTGTTTTATATTCAACAGTGGAAGCTTCATCTATTTGAGCTCGAAGAAGAGATGAAGATCAGCCCACCTATTAAATATGTGCTTTATCAGGTAGTTATGTCATGTGTTGCTTTTCATATTTTTTTCGCCAACCGTTCACTATATTTTTAGATTAGCAATATCTGTTTCTTATACCATCTCATGAGACTTTGTTCATTTATAACACACTGCCAGCCAAACGCTCCTTTCCATTATCGAATCTTTTTTTCTTTCTTCTGATTTAGTTAGAGAACCATTTTAGTGATTTGAGTAGATATAGTAGGTGCTTGTTGAATTTGGCAAGTGGTTCATTCTGTTGATTAGGTTAGCACGATGGGCTTGTTACTTGTTGGCTTAATATATCCGGATATAAATATTTCCTCTGAATTAATTTATTAAATATTTTGTATAGGATGATCGAAGCAAAAGTTGGAGAGTGCAGGCAGTAGCGGTAGCACCGGATAGATTTGAGAATAGAAAGGGGCTACCTAGTCAGTGGCGTGGTTTGAGAGACGAAGAACTGTCTAAGGAGTCTGGAATTGCTGGCTGCGTTTTTGTTCATATGAGTGGGTTTATTGGTGGAAATCACACTTATGAGGGTGCACTCGCTATGGCTAAAGCTGCCCTTAGGCTCTGATTACTAGAAACAATTAATTATTCAGACTTTATTTATTTACACATTGTTTTTCTTTTCGTTACAATGTAAGTTAAGTACAAACTTCACTTTCTGTGAAGATTTTTGTCTGGATCGCTTACAGGATTTTAGTGAGGCTGGTTTTGGTTCGCTACATTGGGAGAAAAGGAGGAAACGCCATCATGAAAATATTATTTTCTCAATTAACAACAGTTATGCATTAACTCAACTTGCCATTTCTTTCCTTTCCCCTTTACCTGTTCAACTGGTTTACGGAACTTTCTAATGCAACTTGATTCCTTTTAATTGGAGTCGTCTGTATAAGAAAGTTATGATGAAAAATACTTTTTTTTCGCCTGACACTTAATTTGATTTGTTTAATCTTAGTTTTTAATTACTACATTACATTTTTTTATTTTTTACCATCATCAAAACTAGAGACTAAAAATTATTTTTGGCATAATGCATCCTAAGATTACAATTTTGGCACAATGCACCGTAAGATACCCTGGTATGTTGACGTATTACACAGTAATACCGGTATTAATCTTCATAGTGTTAAGAATACTTGGCCCCGTTTGGTTGGCAAGACAAGATTAGCCAAGATAAAATTAAATAGTCTAATGAAACCCAATTATTTTATTGGCGCTTGCGACGTCCAATAAAAAAAACACATTACAAGGCAAGATAAGCCAAGATAAGTTATGATTACATAATTTTGACGGGTCGACCCGGCAATTTATTGGGGATACCAAACATCAAGTTAAGTCCAACTATTTAGTTAATCTTGGCTTATCTTGACAACCAAACGGGGCCTTGGAGATTAACTTCCACCATAATCACACCATAATACCTATTGATGATTCCATATGGTGTTGTAACTCATGACCTTTGAGAGGTCTTTCTAATGCTATATATAGAGTACTATGTAATATGTTTAGTACACAAGAGGAACAATAAAATAATATATATATTTTCTCTCTCTATATTTCTATCTCAATTCCCCTTTGCTTTGCTCTTTCTTTATAGGTTTCTCAATAGACAATTTCTTTTGATACCGTGGAATATTCCTTCAAAAATGTCATTTGCAACAGTTTTAGTGTGTAAAAAGCCAAATGTATCATTGACAAAAATGTCAACTTGAAGTTATACATATGTTGCAAATGAATCCAAGAGCAATTTTCCAAGAGGGACACATTGAAGATTGTGATTGCATCGTGACTCCCCTAAATGAGTGAATTGTGATAATTGTACACTTAGGCCTCGTTTGGTTGGCAAGATAAGATTAGCCAAGATAAGATTAAATAATCTAATGAGACCCAATTATTTTATTGGAGCTTGAAAGGTGCAACAAAAAAAACTCATTAAAAGGCAAGATAAGCCAAGATAAGGCAAGATAAACCATGATTATATAATTTTGGCGGGTCGACCCGGCAAGTTATTGAGGATACCAAACATCAAATTAAGTCCAACTATTTAGTTAATCATGGCTTATCTTGGCAACCAAACGGGGCCTTACAGTTATACCTATAAGAGGGGGATATAGGTTTGTTCGAATAATTCAACCCCCAAAAGTGGGTAAATGTCTAACTAACGTCTACTAAGCGTAAGTATCATCATTCTCTCATCCTATTAATTATATCATTCGATTAAAGGATTCGTCTTAAAGACGGTGTTGGAGGACGCCTCAACACCAATATCCATAACTATGATTTGAGAATATTTACCAGTTATGGTGGCATAAATAAAATACATATTTGGATGAGAAAATCATTGATGATTATATGGTAGCTACCAAGACCATTTTAAATCGAATCATTATGTGCCAATAAAGAGTTAATTGCAAATAAATCATGGTTAGCTTGTTCTCTAAGTGAATATAGAGACATTTGAGACCATTAATTCTCAATTTTGTTGTTATACCAATATATTATCTTAAAGAACTGAAAGTTCTTTTTCAATAAATATTGGTATACCAAATTGAATTGTTAATATGGAATTTGAAAATAAAGTGGACAAGTAGTCCTCAATACTCTCTCCACATTGTGATTCCGTGTAGGACATTTGTTTTGAAATAAATAATGAGCTCAAGCACATAAAGTATTATGAAAACTTTATTGATGCAGGTAAGAAAATTCTCTATAAAAAAAATGCATGGTACACGAAAAGATATGGATCTCTAGAAGAGATCGTATCCACGAAGACTACAATCCCCATTTATATGAATATAATTTTCTAAGAAGAATCCAGTACCGGAAAACGAAATATTGAGCTCTTGATTGAAAGATTGTAAAGAAATATAGGGAGTACTAAAGAAATTATCGAATAACTATATGTACAATTATTTTCGACAAGCTCAAACATTGTACCATGTAGCACGACAACAATATTTACAGGCGCATTGGACTCCTCCTCTCGAGGGTTCAATCAAAGTAAATTTTGATGTGGCAATTCCTAATGGGGAGAACTATTATTCGATTTCTATGATTGCCAGCGATTGGAGAGGAAAATGTTGTTGGTGGGCTGTTCGTAAATTTCCAGGACGTCCCAACGCGATCGAATGTGAGGCACACGCGGTGCTTGAGGCGATCTCGACGGCTAGATTAAGAGGTTGGAGATCAGTAATTGTGGAGGGGGGCTGTCTACAGGTTCTCAATGACCTTAAAGCAGGAACTTCTCCATCCTCGACTCATGGAACTTATATCAAGGAGATTTGTCCTATTGTTAAATTCTTTGCGTCGTGTAATTTTTCCTTTGTTAAACCAACAGGTAATCAACCGGCGCACATCCTTGCTACTGGTTTTGGTACATATTGTAACGAAGGTTATGTCCTTCCCGATGGTTTGGCTTGAAGCCTAATAATATCCCCTTTTATTAAAAGAAAAACTAGAAACTGAAAATTATTTTTGGCACAATGTGCCCTAAGATACCCTGGTATGCTGATATAGTAATACGGTGTTAATCTGGACAACAGTAAGAATACTTGGAGATTATGGATGACCACAGCCATTCCCACTATTATCACACCATAATACCTATTGATGATCCCATATGGTCTTGTAATTCATGACCTTTGAGAGGTCTTTCTAATACTATATATAGAGCACCATGTAACGTGTTTTGTACATTAGATGAGAACATGCTTTACCGTGATCTAGTGCTCCATTCCTTCACTAGATTGATCTTTGTTAGCCATACATACAATAAAGTAGATATACGGTCAAGTACAAAGCATTGCATACATGAGACTTCCTATTGGCGATGCATAAGGGTTTGATTCATCTTCTCTATCTCATAAAATATTGTGGGACATTGACCCTTATATAGAGAAATTCCATGTCTGAAAGGTAAGGAACCTTTCTTGGAATCTTGCATTCTATAACAAGCGAGGATTGTATCGATATAACTTGCCTGACATTTTGTGATTAAACCATCATCAAAACTTCGTAAAACAGATGAATAAAATGCAAAAACTATTCACGCATGCTTTTTGTTTCCGCACCATCTTGTCGGCTATCGTGGATCTCATATTTCGCGTTTCTGAGAATATGACTGAGATGCAAAAGTGAACAACAAATTCCGCTAGAGGTTGCAGATCTTTAGAGATATTTCTTTTTACAGAAATTGAATTTCGTGTGTAAGAGATTACGGGTTTTGGAGAGTATTGTTATTCAAGAAATTATCTCCCATGGGCCCTGTCTCTATTAGTGACAATTTGTGTGTGAAAAAGATTTGGTCTGATTTTGATATAGATATATCATTTTCCCTATTTAATTGAGAGCATTTTTGCCATAAAATTTTAATGGACTTATACAAATTACGACTTATGACTTGAATTTGCACCTATAGAATCTAATATTTAGGGACCTATAGCAAATTGCCCCATAATTCAATGGGAATTGCTCATTTCATTTACAAATCTTGAGGAAGTAAATGCATTGTCGCCAATGTCATTAGTATCTTAAGATACATGATATATATCCGACATAAGATACGATATAGATAACTTATGTAAGGCGAAGGTCATGTCATCAATAAACCAAGGTCTGAAAACTGAGGAAAATCAAAGTAATTCATTATTCAAGAAGGCGCCATTTCGGATTTTTGTTCCACAAGAAATCATAAGCTACACAACAATTAAAGAAAAGAAAAAAAAAAGAATAAAAACGTATAGTAATAAGCTTGTCTTTGTTGTTTACTTGTTACTTGTACTGGTATAGACATGGTTGACAAGGTTTCTTCTTCACCTCTCTCTCTCTAGAAAAGCGTTTTTTTTTTTTTTTAAGTATTCAAGATGCCATAGTAGTGGGTTGGCAGCCATCGTGTACACACGCTAAGACGTCTCTGTAGTCCCTGGAGATGGTGAATGAATCGTATACTTTTCCGTCACTACTCTTTTTGTATTCGAAAACAAGTGATGAGTGGTTATGTGACGTCAGCTTCACAAATCCCCAATCATAATCTTTGTACAAACTCCAACTCGTATTAACCGTACTAAACTCCGACAAGTGAGACCCTCCTCCTCCCACCACCACATGTATTGTACCGTCCACAGTGCCCGAGTAATGAGACTTTTCTGAGTTCACACACTTATTCTGCACACACAATTAGTCAGTTATGTGATTATATATATACATATATATATAACATACATACATGCTTCAAATGCTAATTTATTTGTAACCTGATAAATTGGGCAACTCCTTTCATAGTTGTGGACATGACCATAAAATGCAATGTCAACCTTATACTTCTGCCACAGTTTCTGCAAGCTCTCTCTTCCCATTGGCTCTTCAAATGAACCTTCTAAACCATAATATTTGTCAGAAGAATAACCGAGTACCCTATGTGCAGAAAATATGAGCCACGGTTGTTTTCGCCTATCTACTGATGCAAAGCACTCTTCGATAAACTTGTACTGCTCAGATCCTTCTCTCCAATCATGTTCGCTATCTGCTATGCAGAACCGGAACATACCATAATCTGTTGAGTACCTGAAATTAAAATTGACGGATGAATATTTTTTTACTATATACATTTTCGACTATAATATAATGCTTAGGATTAGGACACGGTTACCAAAACTTGGCTCGATTCTCTGCAGGAACATAGAACATGGTCTCAGCCACGACACCACACTCTCCACCAGAATCCGGGGTATCATAAAAGGATCCTGACCCTGGCCAATCACGCTCGTGATTTCCACTGTTACAAAACACACAAAACACCGACCGTGTGGGTATTGCTGAAATAATATATATGTATGTATCTTAATTCGAACGTGTTTTTGACCCTTTATTATTCTGATTTTGGAAAAATGCAAAACACAAAAATTGTAGTCCTTTGAGATAGGTGTCTAATCCAACTTGAATCAGCTAAACTGGATGTCGAGTGATAAAGTTATGCATGATTATTGAGTTACGTTTTGAATTTTAAACAACTCAAAACATTAAAGTTGTGGTGGGCATTGTTCATTGAATCATGCATATCTTTCTCCCCCGACATCCAATCCTGGAGATTCAAGTTGGATTAGAAAGCTAACTCAAAGAACTACAAGTCCGAGTTTCAAGTTTTGCCAAATTCAGACTAAAAAATGGACAAAATCACGTTTGAAGTCGAAACGGTAAATTTAAAACTGAAACGACATTTATCATACTCCATAATATAAACAAAATGACACACACAGTATAAATTAGAATCAAAACCTGGCAACCATATAAGGCACGGTGGATGCAATAGGTTCGACCTGAGCGGTGAATTGGTCCCACTGAGAGATATAGCCATTTGCATAAGTGATATCGCCTATATGGAAAACTATATCAATGTTTTTGAGATCTTTTATGAGTTGGTCTGTCGTATTCAACGACCCTGGCTGATAATTGCTATACTCATTTGAACCATCACGCTCAGCCTGAACAAAAGTCACAGTAATATGCGTATATTTATTATTTTAAAATAAATTCAATTACAATTACAAATGCACAATCATTTAAATTAGATAACGCAGAGTATAGTTTGATCAAACAACAAATATTTGCAACTTCTATTTTATGCATAGTTATCTGAAAGAAACATCAGCATATGCTAAAGGAATAAAATTAATTACACGTCAACCAGCTTAAGGAACCTTAATAACATTGCTGTATGGAAAAGTTTCGAATAATGTTATGTGCAAGTAAATTGAAATTTATTTTGGTCCACACAAGCAAACACTTTTAGTCTTCTGCAATCTCACCTATTCTGTTAATACACAGAGTAAATTATTCCTAGTTAGGATTATTGTGTGTATATTTTAAATAAGTGATAAGAAAAAAAAATCACATGTTTATATTTCTGTGATATCTATAAAACCGTGAATGACTCAAAAGTTTCTTAAATTTTAAACTATTAAATATCGAAAAGGGAGTGTATGATAGAACTTTTCATTGTTATTTAACGGTTATTTCAAGTGTCTTTTCTATTCCCTACTCTTCTTCACAATTGAAAATCGAACTTTTCTCTATCATAAGTCATAACTCCTTTGAATGCTTTGACGTCTCAAGTCTAATTATTTTTATATTTCTAATTATATCTCGTAAGCAGATATAGAAAACTCATACGAGAAAACTATAACGGTTGAAGTCTAATACTAATTTAAAAAAATGAAAAAAGTTAAAGCAGGACCTAGATGAAAGCTATTAACATGTCAACATTAATTTTTCATGTGACTTTACACTATTTTTATTGAATTCTCATGGCATGTTTTATTTTATTCAGGCTTATACCATTAAGATGAAATATCTGAAAAACACTTTCAAATAATTCTGTAGTTACTCATGTTGAAGCACATTGAAAATGCTTTTATCTTAATCATTCAAGTATTTGATTAAACTTTCTTTATTTATAAAAACACTTTCAAATAATTCTGTTATTAAATAATATAAAATGATTTTAATAAATCATTCAAATCTAACCTTGCCCATGTCTCCAAATATTATGACTCGTTGCAATGAATCTTGTCCTGGATACGGCGATGATCTGAACGAATATGTCTTGCTCCATACATACGAGCCATTAGATAACAAGTGTCCCATCTTGTAAGTGTATCTGGTGACAAAACATTACAAAGTTTCAGACAAGAAACGAATACATACATACATACATACATAATATAATATATATATATATATATATATATATATATATATATATATATATATATATATATATATATATATATATATATATATATATATATATATATATATATATATATATATATATATATATATATATATATATATATATATATATATATATATATATATATATATATATATATATATATATATATATAAATTTTTAAGGAAACTCGTATGTATGAAACCAGGATCACGCCACCCAACTGTACGCGCAGGTGATCCTATTTATTAATTAGACAATGATCCATTGTTAGGTATCATCATCACATATTCAATTTAAAATAATCAATTTTGCAAGAAAAATATTCAACACTCAAGAAAAAGAAATAACTAATTAAAAAGGTCAAAGATGAGAAGCCGATATATGTATATACCACACATGCTGTTTCTGTGAAATGTTAATGTCCCGGCTGGTGATCTCATCTTGCTATGAATCGCCGAACTCCACTCGATCAAAGGAACCGCTTCGTCTACGTTATAACCACTTGTCCATGTTACTGTCATCTGCAAAGTACAATTCCATTTAATTTGAAAAGTTGTTAACGAACACCAATCAATCACCATAAAAAATCGAGGACTTACTTCATTCCAGGACTTTCCTTGAGCTAGGCGAGGATAAAGTGGTGCTTTAGGATTCACAAAAGATATAGAATTCGATACTGCTATCAGTTTTGGCTGCAAAACGAAGAACACCGAAACATCAGAGCTTGAGGTTGTTAGATTTTAAAGAAACAAACCAATCAATCTTCATTAATGGGGGCGAGAAGATATACATTTGATAATCCGCCTCCAAATAAAGCAAAGGAGAAATCTGCTCGCTGATTGATCAACTGGAACTTAACTGAAGCTTTCCCACTATTTGCATATTCGCTATTCGAGAAATTTGCAAATTGGTACTGAAACACAAATTATAATAGTTAGCAAATATACAATATAAGGTAAGTAATGGCTTCACATTTCGGACACAGACCTTGATTGGGGCAGTGCAAATGTGTGGGGATTGTTCTTTGGGGTTTTCCATGTAACAAACTGATCCACTGAAATCAATCCAACATTCGCTTATTCGTTAAATTTTGACTATTATTATTATTATGATTATGTGAAAGAAACAATAGAATAGAATAGAATAGAGAATAAAAAAGAGGGATAGAGAGAGTTTAGATCACTTGAATTTAGCAGGAGAAAAAACGCCGATCCATTCATCGTTTGAGGGCTCGTCGTTTTCGAATTCTACAACAACCCATTCAGTATCCTCACCCTGTCATCAACATACCCACAATCAAATTTCACTACATACAAATACTAATTTTAGAAGTATTTCATTCAAACATAAAGTTAATTATACCATTTCAAATACTAGATCACAGGATAACCCTAACATCATTTACACCCCTATTTTTTTTTTAGACATACATATATGATAGTAATTTAGAAAGAAGGAATAATAAAAAAAAAAAAAAAAAGAAAAAAATGGAAACGTACTTGGAGTCCAAGAAGAAGGGGGGAAGCTTTAATGGAAGCAGAATCTTTGAGAGAAATAATGGTATTATGTATAGCAATCTTTGACAAAGGCTGCTCCTCTGTTACGGAATGAGCTAATAATACAGAAAATAGATTCAAAATCAATAATAGCAGCAGCAGCAGAGTATAAACAAACACACTCTTCATTCTGCTCTCCGAAATTCTAGTTGAACGAGAAAATGTGATAATTGAGCCTGGGATTAACAAAAAACGGAGGGTGAAGATAGATACATAGATAGATACAAAGCCCTTTTCAGCCAATGTAAATAGTGCTGCAGCCAGCAAAGCAAAGCAAAGATCTTTCTCAACAAATATTCATTCATTGGTTAAAGATACCAGAAATATTCGGGAGAAGACTTTATTGACTCCTCATAGAGTTCTATCAAACTTCAAATTGCCAATGCTAAATCAGGCAAATGCTATTTATTTGTCACCAATATTATCTACTCAAAATTAGAACGTTAATTATTATTAACGTTAATAATAATAATAATAATAATAATAATAATAATAATAATAATAATAATAATAATAACTAGCATTTTTTCCCGTGCGATGCACGGGATATTATTTAAAAAGTGAAAAAAATAATCAATTTAGTACATAATAAAAAATATAGTACATAGTAAATTTTAATAATGTAGTACTATTCATATTATGGTGGTGTTTGCAAATGCTTTTTGAAAGTGATTATACGGTTTTTTTTGCTCATAATCTGTTTTCAGGTGTTTGCAAAATCAACTTCTGCTTTTGCTTCTCTTAAAATAATCTGCTTTAAGCTATTTATTTACAAGCACCCATAACTCTGTTTTTTTATTTAAGTTCGTTTTCTGGAATATTTGCAAACACCCCCAACTTTGGAAATAAACACTTAAAACTAACTTAAATCACAATCACTAACTTCTGCTTTTAAATAATCATTTGCAAATACCACCATATATAACACTAGTTTTTTTAAATATTGCATATTAAGATTTATAATACAAATATATAGATTAAGATTTAACAAATCGAATTTCTATCTTTATCTCTTAAGATTTGAGATATATTGATGAAAAATAGGAGATTGATAATTGTTGAAAATTATAGTAAAAAGATTAGTAAAAAAATATATTAAAAATAAATAATTACATAAACATCATTAGAGTTTTTTAGGTTGCCCAGCGTTTCTTTCTATTATATATGATAATGAGATGAGAGAAAAATTGGTGAGAGAAATAAGTTAGTAGGTACTGTTTTAAGTTTGAAAAGTGGAAAAAATATGAATAGTCTATTTCTATTGAAGAAATGTGAAAAAAAATAGAAATTTCAAAGTGAAAATTTGTAAACAAATATAATCCCAGTTTTATGTATATAATAAAAGTTGGAAAGTGGTTTGAAAACAAAACAAACGTTCCAAAGACGCTCTACACTTTTTTTATTTTTACAATAATAAATGTATAAAATCAAGAATGAGTAATTGGCTGGATATTCTTTATTTGAAATTTATAAAGTCAGGAATTCAAGTTGTTAGATAAATATAGATTGCATGTACTTTGATTAGAAAAAAAATAATAAAAATTAAATAAAAGTTAAAGTTATTAGACATAAATAACTTCAAACTATTAATTATTTGATATAAAATTAATTATTTTCATGTAAACCGAAAATAAATCCAACATATCATTTCTCTCTTCCATATATATTTTCTTTTTGGCAAAATGAGTTTTTTAGTCCTGTAAGTTTGCTAGTTGAGAGTTTTAGCCCACCATATTTCAAAATCAGAATTTAAGTCCTGTAAGTTATAAAAGTTGAGAATTTTGGTCCTATGACTTGATATAAAAAGTTATGTGATGGTTGGTTGAATGAGTTGACATTTAAAATATAAAAGTAAATATATTAAAAATAAATTAGGTGATGTGGCTAATGAGTTGGACAATTTTGGAGGGAAATAAAATATACCATCAAATTATTTTTTTATTTGATGAATGAAATAAGCATTTTCGTAGTAACTATTTTTTAATTAATATTTCATAGTTTTTAATTCATAAAAATAGTAATTAACTATATTTTATTACTCGTTATGAATATTGTTACTCTTGATTTGATAATGTATTTTATGTTTGGAGGCTCTAGAATACTTTTTTGGTACATTTAATTTAATAGAGTTTTGAATATATTTTATTATTTTTTGGTTAATTCGTAAATGTGTATTTGATTTCTTATACTAATTATGATTGTGCATGTTATTTAACTTTACAACAAGGTTTAATAAAATATGTTTTTTTCGATTATATGTTGAATGTGATTGTTGGTTCAATTTCATTGTAATCACTCAGTATAGATTTGTTTTCATAAAAAAAAACACTAAGTATAGATTTGCAAAAAAATAAAATATTTAGATAAATATAAATTTAATTACTATTTTTATCAAATAAAAACTAAAAAATATTAATTAAATACTAGTTAGTCTTATTTCTTTCATATAAATATAGTTGTAGATTTTATTCAATGAGTTTATTGTGGTTCTTTATTGCATATATAAGAAAAAAAAATTAAATATATAAATTAATAATTAATATGTTAAAATTTTGTCATTATTTGGGTGAATTTGACATTGAGGATCAATTTTTTTTCCAAAAACATCCAACTCATTAGCCACATCACCTAATTTATTTTTAAGGGCATATTACAAATAAGTCCATCAATGGGTACTTATTCATAAAGAGATCCAGACAAAAATCTCTTTTACCAATAAATCCACACATGGTCCAGATTTTTGCAAAGGACTAAAATAACCCCTCATACTTTAATATGCTCCAATTTCATCATTAGCTTAATTTAACTTCAATTTGACCCCAAACTTCACAAATTATTCAATTTTGACCCAAAACTTTTTTTTTTTAAATTTTTTTTTTAAAAAAAAAAAATTTCCCGCCGGATTCCGGCGTTGACTTTGCAATTCTTTTTTTCTTTCTTCCGGATTTTTTCGCCGGATTCCGGCGTTGACTTTTTTGAATTTTTTTTTTCTTCTTTTCTGTAACTTTTTTTTTTTCCGTTTAAACAACAATATTGCTGTGATTGACAGTAATATTAACTATATTACTGTTAAACACTGTAAAATTAACTAAACTCTAGCAATATTGCTATATTAATCTCTAGCACATTAATATTAACACAACAAAACTCATTATTATTGTGTAATAAAGTAATATTACTATGTTGACCGTTCAACAAATGTAAACATAATAAAAAAAAAATCAAAAGAATTAATATTACTGTGAGTGACAGTAATATTACTATAACGACAGTAATATTACTGTCAACCACAGTAATATTACAATAATAGACAATAATATTATTACGTTACTCCGTGAATAACTAAAAGAAACAAAAAATCCAAACAAAATAATAATATTGATGTGGTTGCCAGCAATATTACTATAACAACAGTAATATTACCGTCAACCACAGTTATATTATTGTGTTTACAGTAATATTACAATAATAGACAGTAATATTATTACGTTACTTCGTGAATAACTCAAACAAAACAAAAACCCCAAAACAATAATAATATTGATGTTGTTGACAGTAATATTATTGTGTTTACAGTTATTTTACTGTCAATGACAGTAATATAATTACGTTGACTTGTCAACAAATCAAACAAAATAAAAAAAAAAAACAATAAAAAAAAAAATAATATTACATTAATTTACTGTCAACGGCAGCACAATTACATAAATGTAATGTCAACGGCAGTACAATTACGTCAATTAACTATCATTGACAGTATAATTATGTTAATTTACTGTCAGTGACAGCACAATTACGGTCAACGTTTAGCGGCGGACGTAGAAAAACAAAACAAACCAAAAAAAAAACTTAAAAGAACACTAAAAAAAGTCAACGCCGGAGACCGCCGTAAACCGGCGAAAAAATCCGAAAGAAAAGAAAAAAAAAAGCAAAAAAAAAAAGAAAAAACAAAGTCAACGCCGGAAACCGGCAAAAAAATTCGAAAGAAAGAAAGAAAAAAAAAATGAAAAGTCATTGCCGGAATCCGGCGGCAAAATTTTTTTTTTTTGAAAAAAAAAAGTTTTGGGTCAAAATTGAATAATTTGTGAAATTTGGGGTCAAATTGAGATTAAATTAAGTTAAGGATGAAATTGTAGCATATTAAATTATGCTCTAAAAAAAGTCAAAATTGAATTTTTATGGTCAAAATTGGATTTTTGTGAACAAAATTGATAAATTGGGATTCTAATTAAGAATTGGGTATAAATGGTTGAGGGTAATATTGGGATATACATGAATTTTTTCTTTAGTAATAATAAAGGGATGTGCTTATTGGTGAAAGAGATATAACCCCTAAACCTAGAATAATAAACATGCTTGGTTGAGGACTTATCCATAAAAACCCCTATTTTTAATCTATTTATTTTTATATTTTAAATGACAACTCATTCAACCAACTATCACATTACCTATTATAGCAGGTCATATGACCAAATTTTCTCAACTTTTGTAACTCACATGACTAAAATTCTGAATTTAAAACAAGGTGGACTAAAACTCTCACTACCTCTTGCACGTATTTCATTCCATCCACTCTCCTCTCCCCTCTCTTAGACACGGCCACGGGCCGGTTCGGGCCGGTTTGGACCGGTTCACGGTTCACATTTTTCGGAACCGGAACCGGCCCATGGCGTGCACGGTTCACCGGGCTGGGTCGGCCCGCCGGTTCGGGCCGGTTCACGGGCCTATCCGGGCCGGTTCCGGGTTGGCCCGGAAATTTTGAATTTCTTTTTTGTTTTTTTTTTTTTTGAAATATTTAATGAATAAATAAATTAAAAGAAATACTTTTAAATAGATAAAGGAAAAGGAAATAAATGAAAAGTCAATTTAGAAGCACAAGTTTGAAAATTTGATGAATAAGTAAATTATAGGAAAAATTGGGGTGTGAGGGTATTTATAGGAAAAATTGGGGGGTTGTGGGCAAAAAACATTCAAAAAAAAGCAAAATTGGGGTGTGAGGGTATTTATAGGAAAAATTGGGGGAAAAAAAATTCAAAAAAATTCAAAAAAAAATAAATAACGGCCGGTTCACCCGGGCCGGTATCTAAGAACCGGGCCCGTCCCGGGTAGGACGGGCCGGTTCACGATTCCGGGCCGGTTCACACGATCAACGTGCCGGTTTGGACCGTCAACGGGCCGGTTCGGGCCGATTCTGGGCCCAAAACCGGCCTGTGGCCGTGTCTACCCTCTCTCACTTCTCTCTCCCCACGTCTCTATATCTCTCTCTATCACCCTATTTATTTGTTATTTATTGCGACTTGTTATAATTCATAGTTCTAATTTTTAATTGATTTTTCTTTAGCATAATAAAAAAAAATTGAAACCC